GTTAATTTGACCTATTGGCAATTTGTAATGCATTTTGGTAATTCAATATTTGCTAATTTTGTGTTATATCTCGTCTCACTATATGTATATGTACCACCTTTGATAAGTATTTACACTTCTGTTCTCGTACTATGAAAAACAAATTTAGTTATTTTGTAAATTATTATATTTAAAGGAGTTGGTTCACTAACTCATAATTTTGGCCCTAAAAATCTGAAATATTTTCTTTGTGATTATGTAGTGAAAACTTGATTAAAACATATGTTAAATGGCCAAATATTTCAGTTAAAAATATATTTCGACCAATTGCATCAGCAGTGACTTAATTGTGACGTCATATTGAAGTGGAATTTCGTAAAACCCTGATTTTTTGCAGAATTCTGCAAAATTTACTGCGGTTTTCTGAAAAATTAATAGTGGCGCTATCCTTCGCCCACACATATTTTTGATGAAATACTCTTTAAATACCTATTCTTTACTTTTCAATAAAAATTTCAATGTGTTAGTGGTTGGGCCACCTACAAAATCATGACAAAATGGTTGGAAAATTGGCAAATTTCCACAAAAATGGACAAAAATTAAATCTATTCTTATTTTTAGGCTAATATATTTAGAAATATGAAGCAGGTATACTATTTTCGTTTTATACTTTTAAATATCATACATTCATCTTTGCATACCCATTAGATATACTTTAATAATTGAGGTTGGAAAAAACACCTTTTCTGGGCCGTTTATTGGGATTCCTGGCTCTACTCCTTTACTTGTGTACATTATTTTATTTAACTCCATTTTGTCCAATTTTATAGTTGTCTTTTCGACATTGTTTTATATCTCCCCCTTTTTTTTATTAATATTGTATTTATATTGTGTCATAGATCAAATTTATTAGGGCCCCGCCGAATGGCGGACGCCCTATAGTGATCAGTCTGTCCGTCCGTCCGTCCGTCCATCTGTCCGTCCGTCTGTACGTCCGTCCGTCTGTCCGTCCGTCTTTCCGTCCGTCCGTCCGTCCGTCCTTGACAAATTGTGTCCGCTCTATATCTAGAGAACCGTTATGATTTCAAAGTTTATACTTGACATGTATATTAACCAACACCAGAGGGTGTGTCATAATGTATGTACAACTTCCTAGGTCAAAGGTCAAGGTCGTAAACTTCGGTTTCAGTTGACAACTCCATGTCAAATGATAAAGATACACATTTTTTACCACACATTATTCACAGCGGGACCCACAGAGATGGCTCCCATCTCAATGCTATCTAGTTCGTTCAGTGTATGTTTACTTGTTTTTGTTCATATGTAAATTTGATTGAGTTAAGCCATTTCATTTTATATTTTATAGTGTGTCTTTCTATGTTGTAGTGTTACACTACTATTGCAAGTTAGGGTAAAGGGTGGCGCCTGCTAAAACGTTTAATCCCGCTTTATTTGTTTGCACCTGTCCTAAGTCAGGAACCTGTTGTTCAGTGGTTGTTGTTTGTCGATGTGGTTTATAAGTGTTTCTCGTTTCTCGTTTTTATATATAGATTCAACCGATGGTTTTCCTGTTTGAATTATTTTACACTAGTAATTTTTGGGTCCTTTATAGCTTGCGGAAAAGATGGTATACCGCAAACATGAGGTGCAAAAATGTGAACACCATATCCGGATTTCGACAATTATTGCCTCTTCAGTGATGTTCGGAATCAAAACGGTATTTGGCAGGCCATATAATTTACCTCAATTTAGGATAGACTCTTGAATTTTGAAGAGTCGAAATAGGATGAACGGATCATATAAACCCGAAGGCAAATATAATACAATCCCAAACTAAAAATAAAAATAAGTCTAAATTAAAAACAACATTCAAACCTTGGATAAAAACCGCAATTTTTATACGTGGGCATGTAAAACAAATTTCTTGGTAGAGGGGTCTAAATATAGCACAAACAACATTTTCCAAAAGACCAAAAAAGTGAAAAAGTATATATGTGTGTGTATAGGAATTATTTGTATGGCCAGTTTTAATAAATGAATGAGACCGGAGTGCCCGAAGAGAACCAACTATTTTCGACAGGAAACATGTCATTTAAGTCCGCCTTCGGGTGAGGGATTTTCTAGCTGTGTTGAATACCCATTGGTGGCCTTGGGCTGTTTTCTGCTTTTTGATCGGGTTGTTGTCTCTTTGACACATTCAATATTTCCATTCTCAATTTCTTGAATTATAATCAATCAAGAACGAAGTTGAATGAAGATATATTATAGCATGAATAAAAGGTATATATATTTAAGACTCAGATCGACGTCCAAATCTGACGTCACATTTACAGATTTCAAATCGACGGCCAATTTTAATGGATTTGTCGCAATGACGTCATAACTTTATTAAATGACCAATGTATACATGTTGTGAAATCAATTTCAAAATTTAAAAGATTATATAAAAAAAAAGTAGATGTGGTATGATTGCCAATGGAACACCTATCCACTAGAGTTCAAATGAGGTGGCTGTAAGCAATTATAGGCAACCGTACGGTTTTCAACAATGATAAAAACCTATACCGTAAAGTCGGCTATAAAAAGCCACAATATAAAAAATGGAAACATTTCAAACTGAAAAAACTAACGGTTTTAATTACAACAAAACAATTCCGAAAAACAAATATGACAAACATAAATCAACGACAACCACTGGACTATAGGCACATAAAGAATTTGGCAGGGTTAAACAAATTTGTGAGCGCTATACCCTCCCCTAACCTGTTACAGTAGAAGTACAACATAAAACATAATGTCAATTTCTTTTGTTTTATGTTTGGTTTTCTTGGTCGTTTGGTTGTTTTCTCATTGACGTATACTCACATTTCATTTATCATCATGAATATGAATGAAATTCGACAACGTAGATCGATTAGTGTCAATCAAGATATGTTTGAACATTTGGTTGTTATAAAAGACAAACAGACCATAATTCATCTTTTATTTCGTATTCGAGTTTTCCAAAATCAATCAAAATCTTATATATGTACACGTGCAGTAATTTGTTATTTATTGTTACCGGTTGTCCTCCTGTCTGAATCACTCTGTCCAGCTTTTGATAGAATTGCACATCACGGCTTTGTGACGTCAAATACGTTGACCCTGCCTTAATAATGTTGACCAGGATATATCAGCGACGTCATAATGTATGAACCGACGTTGATAAATTTGACCCGAACTTATCAAGTCATTTTCAGGTTTGCCGTTGAAAATATGAAAACACTTGTTTCTATCATGCATAATACGCAATTCCACCCAGATAAATCAATTATCTGGTTGTCTGCATATTTATACTGTAAAATATCAGCCTGCTAAACACAATATGAAGCCTTTTTTAGCTCGTATGCTGCGCTCACTCGCCAAAAAACTAATATTTAACGATATCAATATGCAGAGAACCTGATAATCTACATATTGGAAATCGATTAGAGAAACTATAATCGATCGGATATCGTTTTGGCAATACATGTCGTCACATAAGACATCAATTAGAACGTCAAATAATTGGACTCTGATTTGAGAATGTGACTTCAGATGTGAACATCGATTTGAGGAACAAACGTCGATCATTTGAGACCGGACGTCGGTCTAAGTCTTACATATATATGAGCATTATCATATCTCAGTTAATACTTGCCCTTTTAACACTATACAGAATACATTATCAAGGATGCTTTCCATATCAAAAACCAAAGATCAATTGAAGTCGACACTACATCAGTTTTATGGTCAACACAATGAATTAGTTGACCGATACGATATGTCTGCGTCCAAACTCAATAGCGACATGTTTTCGCGGTCTTAGTTCTTTTGATAACAATATAGTCGTCTGGTCTTTAGTTATACCGATTCTGTCCTATTCCCGATCATCAAGGCTAACTGAAGAATCGAAATGTCTGTCCCTATACAATAAACCCTTATTTTCCAGTAGAAGTCTCAATTATTTTGTGGTTTTCTTTACCATGCTTACCAAAGAATGAACTTTTGAAGGGTTGTAATTTTGTGAGACTTGCTCATAGTACCTCTTGTTTTCAACGTAAAGCAAATTATTACTGAAATGGAATTTGTTCGCATAACATTAGTTTTTGTTAATCAAAGATAATTATTTTAATATTGGAGCCATATAATAGAAATAAATGAGGAAAAAGTACTTTTATAGAGAGTTTTTCTATCGTCTTTCAAAGAATAAAACACAAAAACAATGAGATTTGAAGTCATTATGTTTAACTTTTGTACAGTTATCCTTTATCAATTCTTTATTCTTTAAGGCTATCTATATTTAGAGACGAACTAGTTAGAAGTTTAAAAACGGACATGATTGCAATTTCTCGATCTCGCTTACCGTTTGAAATTTAAATTATTAAGGATAGAAAACGAAAAAAAATATTTGTGTGACTTGAAATACTGGACCTGCCGGAGGGGCAACATTAAAACAAACTCCATTGGACCAACAAACATCATGACCTAAAAGGTAAATGACAATATTGAAGAGGCATGCAGAAGGCAATGACAATTGTGAATAGACATGCCTAAGGGACATGCAGAAGGACATGAAAATATTGAAAAGACATGCAGAAAGAAATGACAATATTAAAGAGACATGCAGAGGAAAATGACAATATTGAAGAGACATGCAGAGGAAAATGACAATATTGAAGAGACATGCAGTAGAACATGTCACTATGTCAGTTAAGATTAATAAATCAAAATGTTTTTGCACCTTTATTTATCCTCTAAATTCGTATACCTAACCCATTTCTTCGTGGAAATCGGGCACATCCCTCAAGAAAGATCGCTCCAATGAAATTTACTTTTAGTCATGTCCTTTTCCGTTTAACTTCATTCACAGTACTATATAAAGATCGGCACATGTTATTTGTTTGCATTATAATTTTTGTTAAATATAGATACAGGTAGGTTAAATGACATACATGCGCATGCACAAATGAATTTTATCATTATGATTATATTCATTTTCTTGCGAATGTCGATCTGTATCAATTCTATTCGTGAGGAACTTATATATGTGTTACCAGTGATTAAGTGTAAGTTATATTATAAAATAGAATAAGGTTTAAATAAAATCTTTAATGATTCTAGTTTTGCTTCGTGATATGTGATAATTTAATATTGTTTTTTTTTTAAGTTTTAATTCAATTACTTGTATTTTAAACACTTCATAAAAGCATATGATACTTTACAGGAATACCTTTGCTGAAAAATGGGTGCCTACCTTGGATTTTGCTTCATCTTGATATGCTTGACGGGTAAGTAAATATTGTTCGTTCTGATGATATGCTCGACGGGTAAGTAAATATTGTTCGTACTGATGATATGCTTGACGGGTAAGTAAATATTGTTCGTACTGATGATATGCTTGACGGGTAAGTAAATATTGTTCGTACTGAGATAATTTAACAATATTGACGGGTAAGTAAATATTTTCCATACTTAAATAATTTACCGATATTGACGGGTAGGTAAATAATTTCCGTACTGAGATAATTTACCGATATTGACGGGTAAGTAAATATTTTCCGTGCTGAGATCATTTACTGATATTGACAGGTAAGTAAATATTTTTCGTACTGATATAATGTACCGATATTGACGGGTAAGTAAATATTTCCGTCCTCAGATAATTTACCTATATTGACGGGTAAATAAATATTTTCCTACCTTAGATAATTAACCAATGTTGACGGGTAAGTAAATTATTTTCCGTCCTTAGATAATTCTCTGTTATAGAATGTTATATTGTGGATTTCCGATTCCACTTTGAATTAAAATTTTGGAGAGTAGGAACTTAGCATTCTAATAAGCATTACTTGTTATACGTAGCCAGCATCCATTTAGTGTTTACAAACATTTTCCTCTGCAAAAAACAAGGCATATTCTAACCAACCGTGTCCAAAATAGGCCTTGTGTATATGAATATCATTCGTGAAGGAGTGTGTAAATAATGGCAATGTTGTAGACGCTCTTGTAAACTGATTTCACATTGTGATTTGATAAAATTGGTACATATGCCTAGCTTCATTGATAACTGCAAGCTGAAAGGTGAAGTTTGTTCTTGAATTCATGTGAAAATTGTGTCTGAATGTTATTGTAACAGGTCTGGCAATTTTATTATTTTTTTATTTTTTTTTGTCAGATCAAGATTTCATGTTAGGCCTTGATCAAATTGAAAATCGAAAGCAAGTTTGTCTTTCATGTGTTCAAATGTCAAATGCGTTAAATTTGGTTATGGCTGTGTCCCCTCCACAAGCGACATGTAAGAGATATACGACCAAATATGGTTAACATGGATAGGGATAATCATTTCGGGAATGATAACTAGCTTTATCGAAGACTGTTTTCTTGTAAGTTGCCACGTATATATCCGACTCAACCTGTCGCTTTAACAGTAGTACAAAAAGAGGTGGAAAATACCAAAGAGACATTCAAAACTAAAAAAAAACTGACAAGGTCATGTCAAAAAACAAAAAAAAAACGACAAAAAGACAAACAAGTCCACAACACACTACATATACTGAGCAACACGAACCCCACCAAAAAAAGAGAGTTAACACAGGTGTTCCAGAAGAGTCAATGATGTACAAATGCCCAATTCAGAGTATATCCGTTTGATATAATTACGATTGCGTCCTTTCTAAATGAAAATAATGAGCTATTGTATAACTGACAATGACACAAATATCAACTAGAGACAAACAAACGAGGAAGTAATCAACTACATGTCTCCATACGGCCTTCAACAGTGATCAAAATTCATACCATATAGTAAGTAATATGCTTCGGAAAGTTCAGCATCCTATAATCATTCAACTCTAAAATAAGTTGTGGAGCAGAAGCTGCTTTATAATATACTTTGTCTTTTGTCGTTTTTAATATTTTGCCATGATTTTATCAGTCTCCCTTCGACTTCTGAGTTTTGATTCTCTGTCTGGTATATGTTGCCTCTTTTTAAGCTCTTATAACCTTAAGCTCAATGACAACTGAAACGACTATTCTGGCTTGTTATTAACATTAAAAGGTACTAATTTGACAAAACTAGATACGTAATTTTTCAATTAATATCCTTTCAGTCAACTCAGTAATACTCGAGAGCAAAAATAGGAAATATAACTTATAATATCGAGCTTTGATAAACTGATACAACCGAAAAAGATTTAAACTCTGAAACGGAGTAGGGCATAAAGTAGATATGTTCTTTAATATCAAAAGTTTTATTAATGCGAATTTTATAAAAATTATATACGTAATTCCATGCCAATCTATCAAAGTACTACGCTACTGAGCTAGCGATATCCAAGGAGGAAACTTACAATTCACAACAGGTATCAAGCCATCTAATCAAGAATGGATAATTCTAAAATGTCTTTAAGCAATGGGGCTGTTCAAACAAATCTAAAACAGATTATTTAAAGGGTGTCATGTGTAGAAAAATATTCCTTATTGTTGAACCCAACCTACCAATTTTCGCTCCGAAAGGTAAATATCAATAAAGCACCATTCATGATCATTTTCTCTAACATTAGACAAATGGAAAACATAAACATGTTGTATATGTCAATCAAACATCAATGTAGCAGATAACCCCACCCCCATCCCTTTCCCCCTAGAAAAGCAAAAACAACAAGAAGAGTGTATAATAGGGTCAAAGAAATTCGTAGGTAAAAGCTCAATCTTTCGATATCATGTCTTCTGTTTATTCAGTTAGTAACTATGAATACCTTTTCTTAAATATGAAATTGATTTTATACTAGAATGATGTTTCAAAGAGTAACTGTCAATTGCTTACAGGATTGAAGTATACTGATGCTTTTGAAACGTGCTTTCCCACTGTGGACTGTGGATTTAATATTGATGGTTGCTTTTCTTTCTGTGTTGGGAAATTCTGTGCAGGATCATCGAGGTGTGTCGGAAACAACCAGTGCTGTTGTGGTGGTTGTGTTGGATAAACACAAGGGAAACTAAGAACAAAAAGGATCTTAACCAACACATGATAGACCATACACGTTTGAAATTGATAATGGATATATTTAGATAGTGAATAAATGAAAATACAAACAACAAAATGTTATTAAAATGCTTTCAAGTTTATTGACTAAGTTGATCATATCTATCATATTAAACTTGAAATAAAATTTACCACATATACAATTAGGTCTTTTACAAACTGGTACGGACAAAATAAGAGGCAAACAAAATAAATTACACCAATCATAAATCACTAGTAGAAAAAAAAAAACGTCACCATGGCCAAAGAAGAAAAAAGAACGAACAAACAACAGCAATCAACACAAGACTTCACACAAAACTAAGATATAAAGTTCCTGTTCAATTAATCTCATTGGTAATGGCAGAATAAATTTGATTTGTAATTTGCAATTGCTAATAGTACAATCGAGATTAAGTAAGAGAAAAGGAAGATGGCAACAACAAGTAGAACTTATGTGTGGTATATGTGACAAATTTGTTCCATATGGCTTAATCAAATCACCCATTTAGCTATTCAAAAAATCTTAGAATTAAACGCAAGCTCTGTAATATCGTATCAAAATCATATGGGAAATCATATCAGCTAATTTTGAAAATATTTAAGCAATTTTGAAAATATTTAAGCAATTTTGAAAATATTTTCCATCGAATATCTTGAATCCTGATTTGTTGTAAAGAGTATTATTTGCGCAAAGTATGGATGCTTGCCAAATAGTGGTTGGCAGAAAATTCGACGTGACCTATCCTATCAACTGTAGTTGTAGTTGTAGTTGTTTTTTTAATTCAGTAATGAACATAGTTAATATACGTATACAACATTTTTAAGAACATTCATTCCAAAATAACAACCATAATAGCCCTATTTCTCGTATCAAACATAAGCTAAAAGAACTTGCCAAGGAACTTGTTCTTGTCCCGGCCTTTGTTAGTCTTGTATTTTTTTTTAAATTCTGTTCATTTATATGTTTTGGAGTTTAGTATGACGTACATTTTCACTTAACTAGTACACATTTTTATTTAGAGGCCAGCTGAAACCCGCCTCCGTGTGCGGGATTTTCTCGCTGTGTTTATAACCCATTGGTGGCTTTCAGCTGTTTTCTGCTCTTTCGTCGCGTTGTTGTCTCTTTGACATATTCCACATTTCCATTCTCAATTTTATCTATTCATATAAATGATTAATTATGGTCCAAGTTCACAGGTCAAGTACATTTGTTGTTTGATAAAAGAACATACATACACGTTCGATTATGCTCACATATCTATAATGACTAAGATATTCCTAGACAATGTCAAACACTTTTTGCTTTCTGAATCGTGTCCTTGGAAATCCGAATATAACGACAATAACTGTCCAATGTTCACCGACCACGTGTTTTGATAAGATGTTCCTGAATATTAACAGATCCTACCAAAGTACTGGCACCAATTCTGATGGAATGACCATTATATAAGCTAAAGTTGTATCTACAAATATCTAGTACATGTTTAAGACTTCTAATGAAAAATTCCTGTCTAAAGCGCTACTACTTTTTTTTTTATTAGCAATGGATCTTAAAAACAAAAAGATGCTTCTCTACCATTCCTGATTGTAATATACTTTTTGTTAGCCGAGAAAGGACAAATGATATGATTTTTGAAGCTGTTCACTTACATGTACACCTATACGAAAAGGATCTGTTTTATAAGTTTTAATGTGTAGAATAGCATACGCATAAACAATCTCTACATCTGTTACACTTAAATTTACAGTAGAATCAGAATGTTTTGAAACTGTAAATTCGCCACATCTCACAATTCTAAAATAAAACGCTACTGTACAAGCCTTTCTAGATACAATCAATAAAAGTAGAGAAAACGACTGATCGAAGAGAAATGCAAATTCCCCAACATAACTGAGAAGCACAAGGGAGACGTGGTTTTAGATTATGCTCTCCTTGTATATGTTTGACAGCGTGCATTATCATATTGAGTCTATGGAGTGTCGATTCATTTGTATATAATCAAACGGATGTTCACAGTTACTTTGGATATAGTAAAACTGAACTAAACCAGACAACCCCGTTGCTGGCAGGGAATGCAGTATAAGCTCGATATCCAACATCATAAGTCTGAGATGTTCTAGTTTATAACACATGTTGCCATAAGCCCGACACTGTAATCTGTAATTTAACAATTAAACGAGTCTTAGTAAGAGGCGAAGTTTAATTGGAATTTTATGAGTTGTGCAAACACTGATGGGATTAAATGAGATTGTGCTGCGCATGTGTGAACTTCAGTCTTCAAAGTAAGATTTTATCATCATGACATACAACAAAATAATGAAATAAATACGTACATAAGTAAACCACATTAGCTTCATATAGGTACTCCTTTAAAACTAGGGAGGGAGGGTGTGGCATTTAATCCCATCAGTGTTTACACAACCCATAATATTCCAATTAAACTTCGCCTTTTACCAAGGTAAGACTCGTTTAATTGTTAAATTTTATTTCGTTGTTACACTTCCCGAACAAAATGAGACTTTAAAGCCATAATGATAAAACTAAACAATAAGGAAAAGAATTACATAATCTCTTACCTTATGATTAATTCTTCAACAAATTAAAGCTGAAAAATTTTTCATCTTTTTCAACCTTTTTATTATAAATAGTAAAATCACAAAAATACTGAACTCCGAGGAAAATTCAAAATGGAAAGTCCCCAATCAAATGGCAAAATCAAAAGTTCAAACACATCAAACGAATGGATAACAACTGTCATATTCCTGACTTGGTACACACATTTTCTTAAGTAGAAAATGGTGGATTGAACCTGGTTTTAAAGCTAGCTAAACCTCTCACTTGTATGACAGTCGCATCAAATTCAATTATATTGACAACGATGTGTGAACAAAACAAACAAAAACAATAGGTAAAAATGTCAAAACAGTCAACATTGTGCTATCATCTTAATCACTATAAAAACAAACAAATGTAACGAAGAAGCACAAAAAGGCTTACATCAAATTTATCATCCTCATTTTGCTTATATTATACGATTTTATTTATCTGTGTAAAATCCACCCATAAAGGATGGAAGGTTTTAAGGAATAATATTTTACAAAGGTTTTTGTATTTGATCATCCTGCTTTTTGTAGAATATGAGACATAGGTACTGCATTTATCTTGACTTTGGAAACTGATGCAGACCTAACACTGTGAGATTTATAAATTGCTGTGTCAATATTATCTTTCGTCATTACTACTTTTAACCATCTAGAAATTGTATCTCTTGAAACAGGTTCATTTGGTTTGACATAACTTAAAAGTAATGTTTCATATTTCCCTCTTAAAATTTTGTACGAAATACATATTCCTGGAACAAGGTATATACACAAAGTCTCCTACCTGGAGGAGAAGCCTTTATATTTACAGTTGGCTCCTTATAACCAGGTCGGCTTTGTGTTTTATAAGTTCATTCAAAACAAAAATAAATTCTCCCTTCACTTTATGTACATTATTAATATTCATTAAATGAATTGATTGAGCTCGAGCTGCATTTTTCAAAGCTATTAACATAGCAAGTTTTAATGTTAAATCATTTAATTTCAAATATTTCACTGGTGATAAGCTACGCAAAAAGTTAAGTACGTTATTAACGTCCCATGTAGATTCATATCTAGATCCAGGTGGACGAAGATTAAAAATTCCTTTCATGTATCGTATCACCATTGAATGACGTCCTACTGCAATGTCGTCAATAGTAAGTCCTAAAGACGAAAGTGCTCCTCGAGTCAAATTTAAGGTACTGTATCCAAGATTACCTTCCTTGAATAGCATTGTGAAAAATTCAAGCTTTGTTCCTTCAGAAATTTGAAAGCAATTAATTTGTTTTTGTTACAATATTTGAACCATTTCCTGATATACACTTGGTACTGTTTCTTTGCACCAAAACATACAAGACGACATGAGTGTGGGTTGTTTCTTGAGAAATTTCTCGTTCTTTGAAGCTACTCCTGACACTGGACATACAAATAGTTTCATTTTTTTGTGTAAAGGATGAACAGACTGCGGATCCTTAGGAAGAACTCAAAATCTTCTTGCTCTTTGGAAGAACGATTGGATTGTCTGTCAACAACTGCATGAGTCTTGGAAACCATCCTCTGGCAACGTCCTCTCTGATTTTGAAAATGCAGCGACTCAATAAACTGAAAGGAGGAAACAAATAGACAAACTGAAAATTTGACCAATTTATACTAAAAGCATCAATAAATGCAGATAATAGGTCTGGCTTTTAAGAACAGTATTTTCCTAATTGAAAGTTTAATCTAGATGCAAACAAATCAATAACTGGCATTTGCCATAATATACATAATTGGTCAAAACAGACCTTTTCAATTTCCATTCTAACTTGTCATCAAATTCTCCAGATTTTTTGTCTGCTAAATTTTCTTTGCCTGCTATATGAGTGCATGTCAACCAGATGCCATTATCCTTACAGAATAACCAAATTTGTTTTGTAATTGTGTTGCAATCTATGGACTTTGTGCCGCCATTCTAAATCATCTTTTATCTGATTAGAAATATGCATGCTTTGTTCAAAATATTCTTTTGAGTTTTTCAATGCTATGATTTTTTTCACTTTCAAGACTCCGATAAAACAATTTACCGATTTCAACTGCAGAAAAAGAAGATACTATAAGTCCTATGACTTTTGCCTCATCTCTAATTTTAGCAAAGTGTCTCTTCAGTAACCACTTACATTCTTTTACTAAGTTTTGTTTTTTGTCTTCAGCTACATTCTTTTACTAAGTTTTGTTTTTTGTGTTCAGTAAGAGTTATAATCATATTTTCTGAATCAATAATTATTACCCAAGAAAATAATTTGTTTTGATGGTTGAAAAACAGATTTGTCTTCATGTATGACAAATCCTAATTTTGACATTAATTCAACTGTGCCATTTACATTTTTATTGCATTCTTCTATAGTCTCTCCTAATAAAAGACTATCGTCTATGTAACCAACATTCACATGACCAAAAACTCTAAAACTAGAGTATACTGGTTTTAATAATTTAGTAAATATTCTAGGTGCGGAG